AGAGAGAGAGAGAGAGAGAGAGAAATGGAAAATTGACAATAACATGTATGATTAAGCTACTATGAAGCATCTTCTGGATGGGAAATTACATTTTGTAAGCTGTGACAATGCTCAATGAATAAATGTAAATTAATAAAAAATAAAAAAATATCATGGCTCCCAGCCACAGATCTGTGAGGCAGTTGATAGTGTGCTAGACTAAGGAGCAGGAGGCCACAGTTTGAGTGCCTAGATCAATCAGCCTGAAAACATGCTGAGTACGTGTGCATGTGCTCAGGACACTGGAGGACTGGAGAAAGGAGAGATCACATCACAACCAAGCCATGTAGGCTTCTCTCTCTCTTTCAGACTCTCTCATATGGGTCCATGTACTCCATTATGAATAAAGGAAATATATACATTTATTTATCATGGGTCAAAGAAATACTTCTTACTCTCTGAGGTATCTCTAACCCTGGAAAGGCATACTCTTAAATCGGAAAACACCAATACCTACCTACATTAGGTTATGACCATTTTTTAAAAAGGTTTTTGCCATAGAGTGTGTGAACATGCCAGAGAGACAGAGACAGTGAGAGAAAAAGTGAGAAATCACACTCTGGGGAAATGGCTATGCCAAAATGTTTTCCTCCATCCTCCTTCTGGGATTTTGGGCATGCACACACACATGCCTGTTGTGATTTTCAAGCTGCTGGGTCAGGAACTCGAACCACAGTCTACCATGTGGGACTTCAGCACCTTAACCACCACGCCACCTGCTGGTCCCAGGTTATAGCCATTTTTTATCCCAGATTATATAATATACCTTTTGAAAATATTTCATAATACTTTAATTGCCCATAAAATTATATTTATATTTATAACTTACAAAAATTGTTTTGTAGTTTTTTTATGGTTTTTGGACAAAAGTACTTCCCAAAATGTCCTCTAGAGGTAGCAAGATCATTGTTGGAACAAACTTCAAAAGGCCAATTAGAAAGAAGCATATGCCTATTTTCAAAAGAACTGAGGCACAAAGTGTAAGAGACTTGCCTAATATTCCAAGAAATCTAACATTTCAACATTAAAGGAAAATTATTAACTACCTGCATGAGTGATTTTAAAAAGGTAGCATAAAACATTTTACCATTGGTAACAGACAATACTTTTCAGTTTACTGAATCCATAAATACTTTGATCCTCTCAGTTAATCACTAAAGTATGTACCCTAACTTTGATGTGGATAGGAAGAAGAACAAAGGTTGTGAAGGAATGCTAAAATTAAAAGCTGTTCTCTTAAAGGATCTTTATTCACAAAATAGACTCAAAAGTCTTTTTTGAAAAATATTATTACCTAACATTTCAAATGTTCATCTTCAAAGCATCTAGCAAATTTGACACCTATTTAATAGGCCCAAACTAAAAAATTTCAGCTTGCTAAAATGTTGCTAAATGCTTTAAGTAAATTCTTCACATCTTTCAAACAATATGA